AATATATGCATGTATGGTGAGTCTCTTGGGGTCATCTCCACTCTGCAATTTCGAAATGTTGAAATACCTGGTAAAGGATCGAGGTCCACAACATAAACGATATAGTTTCTTGGTTGTCATACCAAAACGCATAGAATGGTCTGTAAAGAGGGACGATCCCATGTGATCACACCAACCATTCTAAAATGTTCAAAAACTTCAGCCATACATAGTTTTGTTTGCCATTAAAATAAGTTGAATGATATTCACATTTCTCTAACTCTTACTCGATTTATACATTTCCTGACTTGTTGATTGTCTTCCTTTGTGACGTCATGGAAAAAGCGACCATGTTTGAAGACGCCAGAGAAATAACCTTGTTTTTTTCAGCTAATTCGAAAAGACTATATATATATAGCATTTTTGTAATACAGAAAAAAACATTCATAAACGAAAAAAGTAAAAAAGGAAATATTTGGCCGGCATTGATTTGATTATTATATCTTCTGATCGATTTTTCGTGTTTAACTTGAAAAACGGAAATGAACTCTTAATTCTTTAATATGTTTTAAACATGACTCCATGATCTTTAAAGTGAAAGGTAAGAGTTTGGTATTTGTACAGCTTTTTCTGAACAATGACCACCAAGACTAAATCTATGAATTATAAAACACAGGAAACTCTATTGGCGTAGCAAATGAGAAGAGAACTCGAATATAATACTACAAAAAATGTTTTAAGACGTTTTCTTAACCCAACTTTTATGCAGCATAAGGCTTACAAGCGGACGTACCATAATGAAATAAATTTTAAATGTAGTGTTGTTTTAATAACTATAAAATGTTAAGATAAAATTGAGAATGGAAACGGGGAATGTGTCAAAGAGACAACAACCCGACCACAGAACAGACAACAGCAGAAGGCCACCAATAGGTCTTCAATGCAGCGAGAAATTCCCGCACCCGGAGGCGTCCTTCAGCTGGCCCCTAAACAAATATATATACTAGTTCAGTGATAATGAACGTCATACTAAACTCCAAATTGTACACAAGAAACTAAAATTAAAAATAATACAAGACTAACAAAGGCTAGAGGCTCCTGACTTGGGACAGGCGCAAAAATGCGGCGGGGTTAAACATGTTTATGAGATCTCAACCCTCCCCCTATACCTCTAGCCAATGTAGAAAAGTAAACGCATAACAATACGCACATTAAAATTCAGTTCAAGAGAAGTCCGAGTCTGATGTCAGAAGAACATTGTTCCGACTTTTATATGTTGTTCTAATTTATTTCATTTTGAGGACTGAAAAGTGGAAAATAGAACTTCATTTACATGACATTGGTTACTATTATGTGTACACTACTCATGTGTAGGGAGACGATTACACATACACTTGTCGTTTGTATTTATTTACTATTGATTACACTTGAGTAAACGGAAACCGTATTTCATGGTTTATGATTCTATAACAATAAAGTGTTGAATGTTAAATTTATATATATGAAAGTTATACTACTCATATATCATTGATTATCTATACTAGAAACTTGAAACACATAATTGTATCAAAAACATATAAAATTACAGTTGATACATGTATAAATATCGTAGGTGATTACAAGGTGTGTTTATGTTCAGATTATTGATTTCCGTACTATATTTTCTTTATTGGTTTGAACAGGACTTTAACTTTCCTATTTCTTTTTACTTTCTTAAAATTACCGGGAATCCTGTAATATTTTAAAATAACCATAAAAACAAAATGTGTACACATATTCTTTGTCAAATAAGTGGTTTTACATTTTCCATCTGAATAACACACTTGAACCATCATGTCAATTTTCAAAACATATTTTGTGGTGAGTGATATTCAGTTTCTTTATTTACATGATCGCGAAGAGATGACGTTTTCCTTTTCACTTCAATTACGGAAATAAGAACATAATTTTCAACGAATTTATTTAAAAAGTAGTATACTAAAAACCAAAAAAATTTTGTTTGTTATCAATATTAGAAAATAAGTATTTTATTTTCACATGTTTCAGCCTGCCACTGGTTTGAAGTGTCAGATGTTACATGCTTGATTTAATTGGGACTTAAGTTACAGCCCACTGCTGCTATGATGAGTGAGATATTACATGCTTAATTTGGTTTTGATTTTAGGGACAGCCTGTTGCTGCTATATTGAGTCAGATGTTACATGCTTGATTGAATTGGAATTTAAGTTACAGCCCACTGCTGCTATGATGAGTGAGATATTACATGCTTGATTTAATTGAAATTTAAGTTACAGCCCACTACTGGTATGATGAGTGAAATATTACATGCTTAATTTGGTTTTGATTTTAGGGACAGCCTGTTGCTGCTATATTGAGTCAGATATTTCATGCTTTGATTTAATTGGGATTTTAGTTACATCCTGCTGCTGCTATGATGATTGAGATATTACATGCTTGTTTTGGTTTTGATTTTAGGGACATCCTGTTGCTGCTATATTGAGTCAGATGTTACATGCTTGATTTAATTGGGATTTAAGTTACAGCCTGCTGTTGCCATGATACGTCAGATGTTACATACTTGATTTAATTTTGATTTTAGGGACAGCCTGCTGCTGTTATAATGAGTCAGATGTTACATGTTTGATTTGATTAAGATTTAAGTTGATGAGTCAGATGTTTCCATCAGCTGTACCTGGATATATCCTTCCTACCATGACACAGGGACAACAAAATTTGTATGCCCCAACACAGGTGCCACAGATGAAGACAATTCCAATTGGCATTTTCACTACAGTAATACTTTATTTTAATGGAAATGTTTTACTACAAATAATTATATAATACTGATTGTATTATAGTTAAATTGCTGTCTTCTTAAATTATACCTCCTACATCTCTTAAAATGCTTGGGATACCAGGATATCCATATATGAATCTATCATAAATTTCTGGTAAACACCAACAACGGACGTTTAAAGATTTCTGATAACCATCAAAAGACGGTCGAGTAAAGCTGTCTAATAAACATCAACGACGGTTGTTTAAAGATTGACTGATTAAGTAAAATATATACGAAGAATTTAACATTTTTATCTGGAACCTTTCACCACATTACTTAAAATTAGATGTCGTAATTCTCAACATGCATAATTAATCAATACTATACATATTTAGTGTCCTTTATATCAACGCTTGCATGGGTTAGTTTCTAGTAAATGTTTTACATGTTTTATTTGTCATTTTTATAAGTTGTTGCGACATGTCCCTGTTTGTGCTGATTGCACAATCAATCAGACTCTTTCTTGTCAAATAAGCATTTAATATAGAAAAAACTGTAATTAAAGTGCGGCCTTCACTAACAAAAAAAGATAAAGAATATATAGTAAGCTATAAATGGCTTTGACATTAACAATTAAAAAAAAATCAAACGAAAAGAAGACCATTTTTTTTAAGTTCAAATCTTCTACTGAAGGGTTAATTTGCAATTACAATAATTTCAGATTAGCTTAAAAGAAGATTCCCAGCGATTTGGTTTAAGGAAAGACTATGCTAGTAACTTTTTTCCGGCAGACGATATTATTTCTGCTTTTAATGATATCCTGTACGAACTCACATTATGTGATCATGTGGCAGGCAACTTAGAAGAAACATCGGACATTATTGTACAGATGCTAAACAATTGCTCTGATGAGAAAGTTTTGGCATATATTGTAGAAAGTTTATTTGAAAAGGTAGATTGATGATAAGCAAAAGAAAAAAAAAGTGTTAGCAAAAAACCGAATTCCAAGGAAAATTCGAAAGGGGGTAGTCCATAAAAAGTTAAATCACAAAAATACCGAACGCCGAGGAAAAATTTAAAACGGAAAGTTCCTAATCAGATGGCAAAATCAAAAGCTCAAACACATCAAACGAATTGATAACACCTGTCATATTCCTGACTTGGTACTGGTTTTTTCTTATGTAGAACATGGTGGATTAAACCTGGTTTTATAGCTAGCTAAACCTCTCACTTGTATGACAGTCGCATAATATTCCTGACAAAATCAAATACTCGAATATATCATCTATAACAGAGCTAATGGAAAACAACATTTATTTTTTGACTAGTACACATTTTGCTTAGGAGCCAACTGATGCCACCCTCCGGCTGCGGGATTTTTTAGCTATGTGGAAGACCCATAGATGGCCTTCGGCTGTTTTCTGCTCTTTGGTCGGATTGTTGTCATTTTGAAACATTCCCCATTTTCATTTTCAATGTTATGTCGTTACTGATTCCTTTAGTTTTTGCTTTTTAACTTGATTGGACTCTTTTTGATCGCTTGGCGAAATTTTAACAGCGATAAACTACTGTCTCCTTTGATTTATAACCAGAGTTTAGTCTCATCACAATGTTCAAAATACAATATCCGACATAAAAAAACTGTTTTGTCTTTTACACATAAAGGCAAAAGTATTATACCGCTGATCAATAGTCACAAATCGAAAACAAACTAAAACCCAAGAGGAAAACAAAGGAACAACAGAAACATTTAACTACAAAATTAAACAGACGCTAACATACATAAAAACGGACTATTTGTTAACAACTGCCATATTCCTGACTTAGTACAGGACATTTTAAGAGAAAATGGTGGGATGAACCTGGTTTTATGGCTAGCCAAAAACAAACATTTCATTTTTTTTATCGTCTTTCGTATTTATTTCACATGCATACATAGTATATACTTGTTTTGTATCTCACCAGTGTCTAAATGATCCAAGTTTTCAAAATACAGGAGCAACACTTGTACAGAACTTAATTTGTAAATTAAAGACAACACAGACTTTTGCCAACTTTGGAAATCTTTTTCTTTTGAGGTAGGTTCAAAATTTATCGTCCTATCGATACCGATTGCTATATTAACAATGAGCAACATACACATAACATAATTGTAAAACTTGAATATTGAACATGTTGATAATGATTTGTCATGCTGATTATTGGTATATTTTTACGTTTGTTTTTTTTTTTTTTATCACAGATGCAAGGAGGAATACTTAAAAAGCTCGGAAACAGTACTTCGTCTCTGTCGATTGTCGATTTTTATAGGAGAGTTGTTTTTTAATCAAGGAGTAAGCAATCTATATTTATCAACATCACAGATGTATTACAGTCTTATTGGGGAACTTTTTGTCTTACCATTGCAACATTATGGGTTATAATTTGTTATTCCTAATTTCAAACAATGTTGTGCTATAGTTCAGCTCTCTTGTGTTCGAATATAAAGTTTTCATCAATATTTCAAGGTTTAATTCTTAAATTAAACATCGATTCATTAAACAAATCAAAACTGGAAAGACTTATGATTCCTTTTTTTTTTAAATTAAAAAAAAAAAACAATAATTATTTGATTACCAATGAATCTACTTGTACAACGTTCTGGCAACTGCATGCCTATTCTGTGTACACGTGGACACAATAAATAAAAAATATAACAAAACAAAAATCAAACAAAAAAAACTGCATTCTGAAAATACCTTTTATCTGTGAATAATCGATTATTTTTCTCGACCATCTCTTTTCCCAAGAATTGTACATCGGTTATCTTATGTCTCCTTGATGTTATGACACTTTATATTTGTGGTTTTAAAAAATGTGTAAACACTTGTTTTCTATTCATTTGATGTGTGTGAGCTTTTGCCATTTTAAAAGACTTTCAGTTTGGAATGTCCCTTTGAGTTCGGAATTTTTCTTTAATTACTTTTATAAATAAAGTTTACAAATCGTTTTATAATCATCTCTTCTAGGTAGCAGGTGGAAGAATTGTTCAAGGTATACCTGTCTTAAGGTTTTTGATAAAAAGTTTGCTGCTTGTTCTTCTTGAACATTCAACAGATGTTACTGTTTCATGCGCTGTACAAGTATTGAAGGTATAACTATCATGTTTTTGTCTGGTCAATAAGTAAGGGACATTGTTAAAGAATCTCTTCTCGTATAAGTGATTTAAAACGTGGCAATCGCAAATTTTTGATGGAATAAAAATGCCTGAATAGAAACAAAAGGTTGAAGCAATAGCAAATTATACAGCACAATGATAAAAAAAAAAAGAAAAAAACACGTAAAAGTTATAAAGGACCATATTTGGCCTCGATTATAAAGATAAATGTTACATGTTCAAAAATGTTGCAAGTTGACTGAAAGACACGTGAGAAAGTTTAATAGAACTATTTGTGTCAAAGTTTCATTCTAAAGCGTTGATTTTTACATCCCAAATAGGTTAAGATAAGAGATTTTGGCGAAATTTAACAAAATCGGCCAGATTTCAATCACATATAGGACCAAGAAACATAGAGCAAAAGGCGTCGACAACCTATATATTCAAATTAGACATGTAACATGTCTTTATACATGTTATAAACGTTATTTTAAAGATAATGTTTTGTCGACGTATGCGCTCTATGTCTCCTGTCCAATAATCAATTAAAAGTTACACATTTTCATTCATTTTGTTTGTGGAAAATCAAAATGAATACTATTTGTGACGTCATGAATAAAACGCAGGATCGTTAATTTTCAACAAAAATTATTATTTTCTATCTAGTCACTGTATTAGCTATGATTCATTGTGATAATGGTCAATAAATCCGAATTTGAAATTTCTAGAGACCCTATAATCTAAATATGGGGGCCATGTTTGGGCCTTATCAAACCTATTCCTTTCATGTATATTTACTCTTGTACATAAGGAAGTAACAAATTTTCCATAACAATAATACTGCTTAACAAAAAAGACAAAAGCTTACAAACATATATGGTTACACGTTTTCTTCTATTTGTGCAAGCATTAATTATTGATGTTTTAAAATATTGCTTGTAAGTCATTTCAAAATGATTATTATCGTGAAAATGCGCTGATGCAACAACACATTTGTAATCTTGCTAGAATTACTAGCTTGTGCATGTATCAATTTGAGTAATGATTCACGTATAATGTGCATAATGATTCACGTATAATGTGCATAATGATCCACAGGGAGCAGACATATGTAGACCTGACAAAGGACTCTTCAGCAAGGTGTTTCTATATCTTCAAGAATTACAGTCATGTAATCATTTAAGTCCGTAAGTTTTTTTTATAAATCAAATCAACGATGGCAAATAGTATATTTCAAAAAAATATCTAAATTAATCATCTTCAAAATATTATATTATTTTGATCAAAGCAAATATGAAAACTACATTAATCCGCTTTACTGCAAGTCTCGATGATAGCTCTTATAGAAGAGGGACAACATATACCAGAGGGACAGTCAAACTCATAGATCGAAAACAAACTGACAACGCCATGGCCAAAAATAAAAGGACAAACAGACAAATAATAGTACAGATGACACAACATAGAAAACTAAAGACTAAACAACACGAACCCCACCAAAAACTGTGGGTGATCTTATAGCATGTCCGGGTATGACTGTACTATTGTTCCATTTTTTTTGTCTTTTCAGCTATTCAAAGTGTGTACTAAGTTAACGATTTTCAATATTTGGGGCTCGAGTATCATTGCGAGACATTTAATAATGAAATGCGCATCTGGTTCAGTTAAATTGGTACTGTTAATGAAATTGCAGATTGAGATTATTTCATTCACAGCGTAATTATTCGAAATTTGTCGGACAGTAAGATGCATCGTATTTAAGTTCATTCTTGAGATGCTATAAACCAAACATAAACTAATAAAATTCAATATTATAAAAAATCAATTCCTTAAAGTTTTCTTACAGAAAAGTATATTTCAATATGGCAGATTTTGATTTAAAATTTTCATTGCAAATGTTCATATTCTTTACTTATAATTGTTATATTTTTATGAATGTGAACCAAGAGTTCCAACTGATGTAATTGAAATCATCCGTTCGAAAATTTTGCGAACACTATCACGAGATGGTTCACCGTTATAGTATATCTATTTTACAGATGACGATGGATATTTTCAATTGTCGTAACCCACAATCCAATTCACTATTATTTGAATGTGACTTACCCATTTAGACGTGTCGCCCGGTTTGTACTTACATGAGCAACACGTCGGGTTCTACGTGTAAAGCAAGATCTGCTTACCCTTCCGGTGCACCTGAGATCACGCCCGGTTTCCTGTGTCGTTCGTGTTGCTCCGTCTTTGGTTTGATATGTTGTGTTTTGTATACTGGGTTTATGCCACTGCTACTAGACGTTTTTCCAGATGGCATATCACCTGCCAAAATGTCAGAATTTTGATATTGACATGAAATATAATTGATAAAATGGCAAAATCTAAACCTCAAACAAATCAAACGAATGAAAAACAACTATCATATTCCGTACTTGGCGCAGGCATTACCTTATGAGAAAAAACAAATACTTCAACAAAGAAAACAAAATGGCACATAGACAAAGCACATAAGCAAAACTGAAAGACAATAATACAAAAATAGTCCATAGCACAATAATACGATGACAGGATGTATAAGTAACGATATTACCGAAAATGGACTAAATAGAAAATACCACATCTTCTTATCTTTATATAAACAGTCAAGGTTAATAATTTACAATGACGAATAAAAGAACACTGTAACACCTAATTAAGATTATAAACAACGTCAGTACCTAGAATCTATTCTTCATGTATAATTGTGAAGTTGATTCGGAAATTTTATCAACATTGTCTTGGTATCTTTTGGAAAAGTTAAAAAACAAAAAAACAAAAACAAAACGTGACGTTCATGGACATAGCCCTGGTTCAACAACTTTCTGCTCAGTCACTGGAAATGTTTTATAAAGTCTGAGGCAGAGGAGGCCGTGTTTGTTGTTTCTTTAATTTTAGTTCTGGAGGTTATAATAATGGAACCCAATCAGAAAAGTTTGGATTGTTAATAGAAAGAGCATCATCAATATATATGAATGTGAAATTAAATACTCTGGCTTCTTTGATCTTCTTGTTTTTGACAAGTGTCTGAATGAACTCTGACTCATATAAAATTTAGAAGAGGTCGGCAAGGAGAGGCGCACAGGTAGTTCTCCCTTTGAAATGCCGACAATTTGTTGATAAATTATACCCCCAAATTCAACAAATAAGTTGTCAATAAGAAACTCCAGCATACTGATCACTAAGGCCGTTCTACTCCATGGCCGACACAGCCTTAGCAGTATTTGACAAAATTTCTTTGAATCTTTGATCTTCAATGCTCTCCGCATTCTTTTTTCATTTGGCACAATGAATACTCCTGGTAACACTAACTGACTATAAAATATCTATCCGCCAAACACGTAAATCTAAACGTCCAGTATTTCATGATACGAAAAGATTATCAAGAAAATCTAGAAAAACTATTAAAAACGAGTTGATAGAATGAATAAAAAGTGTAATCCGATTAAGGCACACCTATGCTTTACGAGGGTGTCCATTGAAATTTAACAATGGTTTACGTATCAAGGGATTGAATAGCAGAAGACGCTTACCCTTTTGCCACATCCGTTCTCGCAACCTTTTGAGTTCATGTAATTCTGTTTAGTTTATGTTGGGTATCTTGTTTTTTTCTTCCTAATCGATTTACGAGATTTCAACATCAGTAAACTATTGTCGCCTTAATCTATCGCCAGATATGATAAATTGATCCTTCAAGTTATTCAATTTTCAGAAAAACAAAGAAGTCGATTACATTTTTGCTAGATCTGCTGGGTCCAAGTGGTTCGTCAGAGCAAACACGAGTTTCTTCTGTTAAAGACTATGAGGTAAGTCTGAACAGGTATACTATTTAGTTTTTCGTAGATAAATAAACAAGAACGGATGCAGACTTTCAATACATAGTGCTTATACAGGAACTGATCAACTCTCCGGAAAACATTTGTTTAATTCCAGTTTTAGGTTTGGTTGTATTTTTCTTAATCTCTCCGTTTCCTCTGTAAATTTTTGTAATATGAATAAAAGATTTCTTTTCACACCTCACATGCGTCCTTTCAATATTATGCTCGACAAGAATATGGCAAACTGTTCTTTGTTTAACTGTCTTTATCCAGACACCTTTCTTTTTCACCCCAGAGTAACTTAGTTATTCTCAATTTAAAGACAAATATTATAAAACTCAGTGTCCAAACTAACGAGACCGTTGAATATAATGGGTAATACTTTGACCCCAAAAGTAGCGGGTTTGCTAGGTTAACCTCCTGTCATTAATGTATCACTCGTACCACGATAATTAGCAAGTGTCAAATGAATGAAAAACCAAATGCTAAATCGATGTTAGTAAAGCTGTTACTTTCTGCAGTTTGATAAGGTACTACATGTACTATTTAAGGTGAAGATTAGCCTTTCCGTACTTTGCTTGTTTCACAAAGACAGCCAAACAAAACAGTTTACAGTTTAAATTCTGATCTATTTAAGTTCTAACAACAATTGCAAAAATCATAGAATTTAGTAAAAAAATCTTCATTTAAGGGCAATGAATTTCGTAAGCATTCTTAACATTTTGACATATTGACTTACTGGTAGATCTTTTTTGTTTTTTTCTGCCATGGCGTTTTCAGTCTATTTTCGACTTATAAGTTTGAACTTCCCTTAGGTATCTTTCGACTCTCTTTAAGAAGGTCTCTCTATCCACTTAGTAGTTGCCAAAAATACACAAATGGATCATTCTAGAGAAATAACTCATATGAGGAGTCAGTTGTTAATTTTGACCATGTTAATTTATTTGTAGATCTTATTGTGCTAAACATATTTGCTGTTCCTCTTATTATGGTTTTACTTGAAATTCATAACATGGGTATTAATTGAATATGATTCTTTTAATAAACATTTAAATACTTAAGTATTTCGTGATTCTTCATAAAGGAACAGTACATTTACAGTTTTACACCGAGTGGAAAGTAGAAATATAATTTGGATTAAAATGTTGAATACGAGGTAGCTAGTCTAGCAATCGTACAGCTTATGTTTAAAAAGTAAAAATAACAAAAATACCGAAGTCCAATGGAAATTAACAACGGAAAGTCCTTTATAAAATGGGGAAATCAAAAGATCAAACACATATAACGAATAGAAAACAACTGTCATATTGCTGACTTGATACAGCATTTCCTTATGTAAAAAAGGAATAGCAAATGTCTTCAGTTCATGGCAGCAAGCAGCAAGATATAGTGTTCCCTACATAATTAATAATTGTACTGCCTAATGGCCGTTAGCTCTAATACGAAATATTATTATGTTTTAGCCTCATGCCCAGGGAGAAGTGATCAAAGTCAAAGAACAGGAGCCTTTGACTACCTCCATGTTTTCCGACCCACGCAGAAAGGAAAAGAAACAAATGCTAGGAGAACGTTTGTTTCCTTTAATAAAAAATATGTACCAAGACCTGGCTGGGAAGATCACTGGAATGTTACTGGAAATTGACAATTCAGCATTGTTACACATGTTGGAATCTAAGGAGTCACTGGAGTCTAAGGTTTGTAGTAGACATGATTAAAGGAGGGTTGATACATGCACACTACAATGCAGATTGATTTTGCCTTTTACGCCTTCTCAAATAGCTTTTTGCGTACTTTGCCTGAAGGGCAATTGTGAGTTGTTACGGCCAGAAATCACCTTTAATATTTAGCCAACAAAAGAAAAAACTCAATAAAAAATTTAACAAGATCTATTTTACAAGAAATATTATAGAAATAGAAATGTCACCTTGACTAAATGTTAAAACATATGCCCGATCCTTTTCTTTTCCCGGAATAATTTTCCTTACTGTTGCAGATTCCAAATGTTAATATATCGAATTAGTTCACAAACTAGTATGATGTCGTTCGTAAATAAAAATGTCAATCCAACAAGTCCAGAGAACTTATACAAGAATATTCATGTCTGATCAGTCTAATTTCGGTGTCTATATATATATATATATATATAGTTGTCACGGAAACTTCTAGAACACTATAGAAGAGAAACTTCTTGAACAACACTATAGAAGGGAAACTTCTAGAACATTGTAAAAGGGAAACGCCTAGAAAACTAAAGAAGGGAACACGGGGTGAAATGCAAGTATTGTCTATTATTTTAGAAATAGAAAAAGAGAAACTCTGACATGGCAATAGGCTAAGAAAGCATAAACCTGCATATTGTCTATTCAACTAAAATGATTCTTTATAAGAGTTATTGTCCTTAAATTACATTTTTCACAATTTTGGTGTTTGGTTTCCTATAGAATATACTGCCCTTGAATGCCATTTTTTTTCCATTTTTGTTTTGTTTTGCCTATCATCTTAAACTCTATAACAGTAAGAGTGAAATTTTAAATATAGAATAAGAATTGTAGGTAGAGAGAAACAAAAAAGAAAAGAATTATCAGCAATACAAGGTTAATAAAGGAGAAAAAACACCAATGCTAAGCTTTTCTTTGTTTATTAAAATTCACAGTATTTTCCATTCATATGCATACTTGCATTCTCTGACCATATACTGTAACTGTCTATTGCGGATCATTTTACCACACAATAATATCTCAAATTTGCAATTATCCAAGTTTTTTGTTCTATTACTAAAAAAATATGAATGATATTTTAATCAACACCAACATTCATTTGTAAGTAAAGCTTTTCATGTATTGCCATAAAATTGTGTCTTTACGTCTTTGCTCTGGTCAAGGATGCCCTTTGGTACAAGCATGTACAATTTGCAGCATTTTTTGAAAATTGTTTCACAGTTTTATCCAGATAATATAACAGAGATTAAAAAAATTTTCAATAATAATTGAACCCCGTCATTGACCATATGTAAAACGAGGAAACTTTTTGAGTGTTTGTACCTGTATTCTCATGGTTTTATCTTGCCTGTGACGAACGGTAGACATAGATATGCTAATGCAACGGCATAACACTCTTTGTGTAAAGTTTTATTTGTTCAAAAAGAACACCTCGATACTTTATATCATAAAGCAGATGCATATGTTTGTTGTCCTTCTTTTCATGGTTCAGTGTATGTTTCTATGCTGCTGCATGTTTGTATGAAAACTCTACAAATTCATTAATGACCAACATAACCGTTAGTTATATATATTTTACAGGTCCGAGAAGCCGTCGCTATACTGCAAGGTCACCAGACAAAAGAAACACAGGTAGATATAAATTGGGTATTAAAAAGTTTGTTTTTTGGCCAACTCTCGCTCTCTCTACAAGTGACAATCTGATTGAAAATCGATTCTTAATGCCATATATTTAGGGCAGATAATACCACTGCTCGTCAACTGCATTTGTATTGTAAAGAATCAGGTCATTGGATTAATTTTTTTCTATTGATTTTATCATGATTATTTTGATACTGATAAATTCTTTTCAAAATTGATGCAGCCGTGGTAATTCAACTATAAACAACATCAAATAAAAGTGTTTCTTCAAAGGGGATTAGTTAAGTTTCTGTTTTGTACTTAGTGAAAAATAGAAATAAAATTTTGATAAATAAGAATGCACACAAGCGAATCTTACAATTTTCAGTTGCCCTTAACTGCTACCATGTTGGCTGACTCCCCCCAACAGGAACATAAGCAAATGTTGGGAGAACGTTTGTTTCCTCTGATCCAAAGTATGTACCCAGACCTGGCTGGAAAGATCACTGGAATGTTACTGGAAATAGACAATTATGAATTGTTACACTTGTTGGAATCCAAGGAGTCACTAGAGTATAAGGTTTGTAGGACAAATGATAAAAGAGGAGTATTAATGTATACTCTGTTTTACTTCACTGTACACTAAGATTTATCACATGGTACACTATAGTTCAAACGGATTTGGCTTTTTCAACTTCCTGCACACAATAATTAACCCACGATTCTATAAAAACATTGAAAACAAAAGCCTTTTTGCTGACTTGACCCAAAGGTCATTGTGAGTTTTTGCCATCATTTATTGTCCGCATTGTCGTCCGTCGACAATGTTTGTTAATTTTTCGAAAATCTTCTTTTTTGAACTACGGGGTCAAATTGAACAAAGCAGTAGCAATCATCCTTGGTGTATCTAGCTTGCAAAATTTCTCCCATGATTCTGATGGCTAACCAACATGGCCTCCAAGGCTAAATCATAGAGGGTTAAAATGCCTAAGTATTGTCTACTGATTGGAAAATGAATATAGATAAAGAATATCTGACAGTAGAAATAGCAGGCCTAGATCGTCAGATTTGTCAACAACACTGCAATTAACATTCGACTTCTTATTAGATTGTTGCCTTTGAATGAGGACTTTAACCCATTTTTAACATTTTAAATGAAACTGTAATAAATAGCAGCTGAAATATATAAAATATAATGAGCAAAACAAGATCTCCAAAGAGTCAGCATAGCTACATTTTGTCAGTTCGCGTACTTATAAATACTACCCTACGTTTTAAAAAGATACAACGAATACAGAAACAAAGACTTGCAAGACGATTGAGACAAATTGATCGAAAAGAAGAAACTTTCAATAATCTCCGGTGAGGAGTTTTTGGCCTTGACTGATGAATTTTTTGCAACACTAAAGTAGAAAGAAAATGAAAACAGAAGAAAGACCAGTATTATAATAAACAAAAACAGATTGCAGACCGGAATTATTTCTATTCTAATAGGACAAATACGGCAATACTTTAAATCGAAGCTCTAGGTGAAGGCAAACATTTGCCGTTCCCGTAATTAAAGACACTATTTATATTGACGTAAAAGAATGGAGAAAACTGAACTAGTGACATGCTTAAACTATTAACAATAACGTACTTAGAAAGGTTTGGAAGAATTTAAATAATAATCTTATATATATATGTAAAATAATGGCATTTAAATTTGTTTTATCATAGTGTGTTTATGATTCCTTGTTTTGGTGACTTTTAGTTCCTCAACCGTGCATTTCCCGTAAAATACTTATATTCTTTTGACTTTATAGTCATTAGCACCGAATGACGTCGGGTAGCTCGTTCATAAAAAAAGCATATGACGTGGGAGTATGATTAGAACAGCCCAAACAAATCATGACGTTGCCGATCAGATCAGCTGACATACAATATATTCACATTTCACTACGGGTGTGTACTGAAAAGCGTTTGAAGAACGTCATATTAGAATCAATTATACACTGTTAGAAAGTATCCGGTGTTGATCCAGATGAGCGACAATTGCCATTTAGAGCCTCTTGAATTATATAAAAGGTATTGTAAACTCAAATGCTATAACTTATACAAAGGAAATGAAATGTCCTCTCCATGGACAACAGAAAATGATAAATCTTTGTAAGCTGAAGAATATTTGGTGCAACAGGAACATCTGAAACAACTAATCTGTCAGTCTACAAAGAGTCAATATTTTGAAAATATATTTCACACAAAGGCTTAGTTTTTCTCTCTTTACTAAATTTCAAAATTTTCTTATGATGTTATAAATATTTTCCACATGATAAAAATGACGTGTTTACCGAAACCCTAATTCGGTTGGAAGTAAAGTTTTACTTGTATTGTAAAACAGAAGGTGTGTGAGAACAATTTTATTTGTTCTGGTTAAGGATGTCATTTTGGTGCAAACAGGTTAAATTTTCAGTGTTTTAGAAAAAATGCTCAAGTTTTTATCCAGATACTTTAATGTAGTTTTGAATATTTACATGAATCATTGGACCCCGTGATTGACTAAACATAAAATATAGAGGAGATTTTATTATTTGTAGCTTTTCTTGTTTTTTTTTCACATGTGACAAATGTCACAAAATCTGAGACATTGGGATCCTAATACAGTGGTAAAATTGTGTAAAGATAAATATTTCAAAAAGCAGAAAACCGTGAATCGTCATATCTTGTAAACAGAGTCTCCTCCTGTTTATGGTTCAGCGTATCTACGTAGGCGTATAATTTTGCTGCTTGTTAGTATGAGAACTTTACAACATCATTTATGACTAAAATTACCTTTAATAACACATATTTTACAGGTACAAGAAGCCGTCGGTGTACTGCAAGCTAACCATGCAAAGGAAACTGCTTTAACTTCCATAGAAGCAACAAGTTACGAAGGGTGCCGTGGAAACCAAATTAGGGTAGATTCTATAGCTAGATATTTGACAGATTTCCTTTTTTCTATAATTACACGTATAAACACTGCAATCAGCTTTTAAAATATACAGATAAGGCTATAAGTATAAACCTAAGCTTTAATCCTAAATGACCTCAGCTGACCACGCGTACTTGCCGACATTACTTTTTATATCAACACTGTCACGCCATTTCCATTTTAATTACGTCAACAATCGTTTACAGATCAATACTACGTCATTTATAAACATACTGATTGAAATTAATTTTTTTCATTAAAAGGTTTATTTTGTAATTGTGAAAATTTGAAAATTTGAAAGTTATCCAAAAAGCTTATATATTACAGTGCCATAAATCCTTCCCCTAATATACCTCAGCTAAAATTACAATAAAAATGTCGAAGAAGTCGCTACTATTAATCTTCAGTAGTCTACTATTGATTATTTGGAAAATGACAAGGATGCTACAATAGATATTGATGAAGTCTAAGAAAACGTACTTATTCATATTGATATGTTGTCTGATCAACAAATTAACGAAACAAATCTTAAATTCGCTCTTTATAGAAACATTACTGCCACTGCACATAGATATATCCAAGTTGTTCTAACAGAATAGACGGCATATTTAACATGTTGAAGATAAATTGTTTGACCAGGACAATTTACATTTAGATGAAAACAACTTTCTAGATACACAACAAAACAAAAGACTGCTAAAAATAATTGTATTATCTTGCATTAGTGACCAGGTGTCTCAAAATGAATAATCAAAACAAGTAGAAATACAAACAATACCAGCTGCTGAGTTTGATCTACATTTTCACAATTTTATGCTGACTTAATTGGCGTTGAATTGTGCTGAAGTGTGCCAAGAGTGTGGACAATCATATAAGAAGTTGAAGTAGATAATTTACTTCTCTGAAATTTTATTTTAAATGCTCTTTTACATTTGTTCTATTTTCCCAATTGTTTTAATATGAATGACACTAATGAGTATTGCAACGTGATTTATGGGTCCTATAAAGACCAGACGCGCATCTGACGTACCAGATTGTTGGCTTTGTATCTTTGATTTTTTTTACATTGAATATCTTTGACATGTTTTAGCAATTAACAACGCCATATTCAGCCCTTGAAAAACAAGCTATGAATTCAGCTAAACCTGGTTCCCTTATGACCACTTTGTATGTAGGGGATCTGCATCCAGATGTCACAGAAGCTATGTTGTTTGAGAAAGTATCATTTGCAGGTCCAGTCCTCAATATCCGTGTCTGTAGAGATAAGAACACAGGAAGTTCTCTTGGTTATGCATATGTTAACTTTCAGCAACAAGGAGATGGTAAGAGTTTCAGAGTTAAAGGCTTCGCCATTTACATAGTTTAAATGATACATTTGGACTGTATATTATTTGGTTTATTCGATGTTGAAAAGTCGGCAAGATTAACATCGGTAAACACATTGATAGAACAAAAAAAAAAGGTCACAGAAGGAAAGACAACATGCATTTAAGAAAAATGTGAGTCAGGACCACCATACCCCCCCAAAAAAAGCAAAAAACAAATACTAGTAGCAAAAACAGTTTATGAAGAGGAAATTAAAGTTGCACAACCTAAGTATCATCAAAAGTAGGAAAGAAGTTAAAAAATTGTCAGCAACACAGCTCAAAAGTGATAACTAGAAAAAAGAACCAAGAAATCACTTCTAAAAATATAAATACAGATCCCTCTTCTGTTTCAAAAGGTAATGCAAGACTAATTTAAAATAAGATATTCTAGAATCACTGTAAAAGAGGATTCATGACTGGGAAATGTGACATCATATGGTTACAATGACAACATCGATGGTATGTGTATTCTATTTGGTCCTTTCTGTAGCTCGGTGAACATGATAGACATTTTCAACTCTACTCCTCAACATAGACGCAGTCATGGTCATCTGAATTATACATTCCTTATTCTATATGATGTCTCTATTAATGACAATCCGACATTTGTACACAATCCGTTAAGTATTCATCACATCCGAACAAAGCTTCATTCACTACCCCCTTTATTAAGTCATTATCTGTACAACCCATGGTTGTAAACCACTGTCACAAACCCCTATTTAACCTAATAAAAACTTGTCATCTCTGATATTGGAAGTTACAGACTATTCAAACCAGTTCGCATGGAAAAGATGAAAAGGAGAACAGAAACTTTTCTAATAATTCCCTTTGCCAACAATGGTATCGATGCCAACAAGTTAGGCAATATCCTTTATCATAAATCAGTTCACCCAAAAATATCTCCCTTTTCTAAAGATCTGTCTGTATCCATCATTTCTTATACCTATACCAATACAATTGCCACTAAAACGTTCACTTACAATCACGTGTTGCAGGATCTTAATGTTGACGACTTCAAGTATTAACCTTCTGATTGCACCTGTGTGTGTTCCTCATTTATACAAACAGGCCACGTTAATACGGGTGACCTAAACAGGTTCAATAACAATTCTCTGCGAAAAGGGTTCTCCAAAGGCCCAACATATCGTAAGCCATAATGTACCAATTGGAAACACAACATCAGAATACTGATGAATTCAATCGAGGATTATGCTAACGCAAGAAAGAAGACGTAGATATTCTTTTCGAACAGATAATGTTGTAACGTCGCTGATACAACTCAGAATAATAAAAAAAAAAAAAATAGAAAGTGTACTATGAATACACATTAATTTTCAAAGAAAGACTCAAATGTTGCAAAGCACCTGTCTTACCTCCATGACGAATATGTTGTTGTCTCCGCAGATATATCACAAATAACATCGTTTTTGTGTGTAAATCACATTACATAAGCTGCTTGATAAATAAATTAGGTGTTGACAATTCATTTGGAAATCCATTATACCCCTACGACACCTTACCAAGGAAGAAATCCCGAATAATGATAGATCTTGTTTTGTTTCTTTGGGATTTCAACCGAAACTGGATCTTTCTTCACTGTATTTGATATCTAAACTACAGAAGTGTCATTACAAACAACGTTATATTGCTGGGTCTTCAAACTCTACGAAACCTCCTTTGAAATTATTAACATCAATTTTATCAGTCATCAAAGCCGAGCTTCAATGTTAATATTATACTACCTATTCGAGAGGCAGCGTGAATCAGATGTGGGTACTAAAATATTCCAAAGATCTGTAAGAGTACATACAATCTAAGATTTTTTCAATTTGCAATAGTATTAACACATTTGACTTTTCTACACTTCACACAATTATTACCAATTCTAAACGAAAAGAAAAATTGAAAGAGTTGATTTCTGCTTTGTTTCATAAAAAAGAGTGGCTTACTTGTCTTAGAGGGGGATAAATTGTACCATAAAAAAAAAATCATTCCTATTCAAACATTTTTTTTTCTGAAACTGACATTATCTATCTGCTTGTTTTCCTGATTGACAACATATTTGTTACGTTTCGGGGAAGTGTTTTTCAACAAGCAATGGGCTGTTCCATGGACACCAAATATGTTCCTCTTGTCGACCTGTTAAGTTATTAATACGAGTCTGACTTCATACAGGAGCTTTTTATGAAGAATGAAAAGAAGCTAGCACTATTCTTTAACTTCATTGTCCACTATATAGATAGATGAAATATATGTTTAACAGATTACGACGGTTATGTCCCAATCGTCGTACCCTCAATCCGTCTTCTTTTTCCCCGAGTGTGACCTATCGTATTATACTTATCAACGGGTTTGATCTTATATGAGCAACACAACGTTAGGCACATGTGGAGCAGGATCTGCCTAACCTTAGTACCTTTTTTTCTTGCAAAGTTTGAAAAATTCATTGTTTTTCTGAGAGTACCAGAACGTTCGACGCGTTCAATACTTTTTAACCACTATAACCACTGCTGGTGGAGGGTTCTTCCCAGGGTGTATCAATAACCCAGTAGTCAGCATATCCGTGTTGACATGGATGAACACTGATAATGGGCACACATATAAATTGTCTTCTTCCTATTTTTTTTCTTGGTACCTCGGTGGTCAAGTGATCTAAGTAGTGACTATACGGTAACATGAACCTGCCAATACAAAGGGTTGTGAGTTCGAGCCTTGCACATGACAGGCGCGTTAGACACCAATTTTTATTGACTAGAATTACCAGTTGCTCCTGGCACTCCGGCTTCCTTTACCAAGAAACCGGTCACCAAGATATACATGTAGCAATTGTGCTGAAAACACCATACCATAACTTATCTTATTCTTCCTCTGCCGCCATATTTCTACCTTGAACTTGTCCGCAGCAGTTCTGCTAAATTGCTAGTCAGATTAACTACGGGTTCCACATTATGCCAGACTATCATGTTTAGTGGTGCAATCAAAGGGACCAAAAGAAAGGAAGTTTTACAATACTTTTAGGTTAAAAGGTCAAGCTTAGACATTGAATATTATATTTACCATTTTTATACAAATTTGGAGAATCTAAAGAATTGAAAATGCTTTTCTGGATAAAAACAATCAAATGAAGTATAAGGTTAGTCTCAAAGAGACACCCTATCATCCCCTTTTATTTGAAAATATTCTAATATCTTGTAAAAGGTCGAAATCCCCACTCATAAACTTTGTAATTTGTTCTTCAGTGACAAAATGCATTAAATGATATCTATTGTCAATCCCCAGGCTTCATTCCTACCCTGATACTTATAACTTTCCAGATACTTGTAATTGTTTGAGATATCAACCCTTTACCGTATATGTTTTGACATATGAATTGAATAAATAACAAGGGGAGTCCTAGCGGCTGTCAACTTATGGGAAATTGTTTAGCAGACTTCGTAACAGCATCCTGCTACAATCATTTTTTGTAGTTCTTGTCTAACACAAAATGTATAGAATACTCAAATAAAAATGTTTGTACATGTATCTTGCAGCTGAAAGAGCTCTTGACGTATTGAACTTTGACACCATCAAAGGTCGACCAATAAGAATCATGTGGTCACAAACAGATCATTATCTCAGAAAATCTGGTGTTGGCAACGTATTCATCAATTATCTTGACAAAAGCATTGACAATGAGGCATTATACGATACCTTCTCTGCCTTTGGAAATATTTCATCCTGTAAGGTAAGAAAATTGTTCAAAAAAAAAAATCTATTCAACAGATTATAATAATTCAGTAGCAAAAAAAAAAACCAAACAACCTGACCAAAGCAAAGATAATAAAGATATAAAATCAGATTTTGGTAAATTTATTTGGGATTCTTTATATTACAGGGAGCTGTCAGAAAGATTTTTGTAAACATACAATATTTCAAACATCGTATTTTGATTTTAATTTTTTAATTTTTTTATTCGAGCGTCACTGATGAGTCTTTTGTTCCGGCGTACACAATTTCAATCCTATTATCTATGATGAGTTTATTTACACGTATTTTGTATCATCCTTGACGGAGTTAAATATCGGGACTAAGATATGATGTTTTGGCAGTGGCAATCTATATTAATTTTTATTATGTCAGTTTAAGACGAACCATCTATGGAAAATCAAGGATATTTGTTATGCAGTTGTATCCGTCATGTTAATTGTACTTTTAAACAACTCTTTAGTTTAAATGTCAAAAATTGTGATTATGCCAATTGTAGGGAAAGCACTAATGGTCCATGATATTACTTTTGTGATTTTATAGCAGGGTGCATCTCATTTCCATGGTGTTAAGTTGACCAGATTGGCCTTGCCCTCTTAGTCATGGTCTATTAAAACTTTTTCAAAGTTTACATGTTAAAGTCTGTGATAAGGTCAGTTTAAGAGGAATATTTTATGATAAGTCAATGATATTTGATATCCAGCTCTACAAGCAATGGCATATCTCATTTTCAAAGAAATAATGTTGCCATGTAACATGTGTAACTTAGATCATGGTTCATTGATTTTGAAAATTTTGTATTTTTACATATCAAAGTTTTAGGTATTTCAACATTTGTATATATTACTATCAAATTACATACTGGTGAGTCATCATGGTCATATGTCTGTCAATCATTTCATTGAAAATTTTGATAATTTGATTATAATCAGGATAGGACTGCATGTGGAAATATCAGATGAAGTTTATGTTAGTGATTTGTGTTAATTTCAGATTGTCTGTGACAAGCATGGATCCCGTGGATACGGATTTATACATTTTGAAACTGAGGAAGCAGCTAGAAATTGTATTGAAAAAGTGAATGGGATGTTGTTGAATGGAAAGAAAGTGTAAGCGTTTTTTGTAACCATTGTGTGTGTTGTGTTTATCAGTTGATCGTCCACTCTCAAAAATTTAACAATTTTAATCTTTTTCTTTCTTTCAATTTTTAACTTATATGTCTATGTGATATCATATTTTATAATTAGGTTTAGTAGGGACACATGAGTTTAAAAACCAAACACCCACTTTGTGGATCAATGTACAGAAATGATGAAAAAAAAGCAATGAATGTTCACAATAAGTACTTGTTGTTGAGTAGGCAGAAACCAGGTGTATATGTTTGATAAGAATAAGAAAAAAATGCTTAGATGAAATAATCTAAATGTAAATGAGGGAACGGTTAGTATGTCTTTTTTTTATAAATAATACACTTTATCTTATTTGCAGTTTTTGAAGATTGTTCGCTACTTTGTTTCAAGATAACAATCATTTAAAACGACTATTATACGTTGGTAGTATATAGATAATGGAACTCAAAAAGCAGAAAAAAATTATATGCTCGTATCTTTGATTTTGAGATATAAGCCATTGAAAATATACCGGGAAATAAATTTCTCTAGATGTTTCATCTATTTAACATTGGCATCTTTTTTCGTTCACAAATTATGATGAAATAACAAGATTTTCATACGATTTTTCTTTAATGGTTTTTAAAATATATTTAATTAAATTATGAGAAGAAAAGTAGGAGTTAGCGGTCGAAATTTTTGATTGCTCTACATGGATAAAACCAGAACAAAAATAAAAAAAAACAAAAAAGGGCAGCGAACATCCTTAAGCTGTTTATGCTTGATAAAAAAAGATATTTGAATTTCTATTTACCCTACCAACGCATATAATGCACCTACCTCTTGAAATTTGTTTTGGTTATTTTTGAACAAGCACTATCAAGGTCACACGGTTTCACCTGTCTATTAAATAATTTGTCGACTTACCTACTCCATTTTCTCCAGCATGATACCGGAAACACGTATTTATTTTCCTAGGTCGAAGGTTTAAGCCTGTTCATGATTTTAACATTAACTGAATATCAGCCACTTTAATGCACTGAAGTCTCTTTTTTTAGGTGTGTAGGACGATTCATGAATAGACGGGAACGTCTTGAAATTCAAGGCGATAAGATGAAGAAATTTAATAACATCTATGTGAAGAATTTTAGTGATGAGATGTCAGAGGATGAACTGAAAGATATATTTGAACCATTCGGCAAACTTATAAATGTAAAGGTATGTACACTTGTAAACCTCACGGAAGACTTTGGGTATGGACGTTTTTGAATTGTGTTTAAAGAGGAACTATAGTGGATTTAGGACTTGCTACTATATTTTGTGGTAGTGGCAAGATAAACAATTGTGATGTTTTGTAGTGTCCAGGCAAAATTAGTGATGTTTTGAAGTTTTCAGGTAAACTATTGTGATGTTTTGTAGTGTCCAGGTAAATTGTTGAGATGTTTTGTAGTGTCCAGGTAAATTGTTGTGATGTTTTGTAGTGTCCAGGTAAATTGTTGAGATGTTTTGTAGTGTCCAGGTAAACTATTGTGATGTTTTGGTATGTCCAGGTAAACTATTGTGATGTTTTGTAGTGTCCAGTTAAACTATTGTGATGTTTTGTAGTGGCCAGGTAAAGTATTGTTATGTTTTGTAGTTGCCAGGTAAACTATTGTGATGTTTTGTAGTGTCAGGTAAACTATTGTGATGTTTTGAAGTCGCCATGCAAACTATTGTGATGTTTTGTAGTGGCCAGGTAAACTATTGTGATGTTTCGTAGTGGACTGTCACTCACAGCCACTGTATAAGTATGGATTAACTGACCACTATAATTTGTGTTAGTTGCCAGATAAATTGTTGCTATGTTTTGTAGTGGAATGTTAGTTACTTTCATTGTTTGAAGTGACTAGTCACTTTATAGGATTATTTTGGCAACTGATAATTTGTAAAGCTATTGTAAAATAAAATGTATGTGTTGTTGGAAGTAACTTTGTTCCAATATTTCTGACATTGTTAAGGCATACAAACATTTTCCAAAAAAAAACAAAAAAAAACAGTCTGACCCTCATAAAATGTTTTACGGTTTTACATTCATTTTCTTCATGAATATTGTATTTAGACATTGATAGAAGTATAACTCTTACAGTACGGGACACTTGTGCTTGAATTATTTTGTTATTGATGGAACCAAATTATTCACAGATTGTGGTACGGTACACAAAAAGATAATGGGTTAAACTCACTCTCAAAGATAGACTTTCACGGTGATTTTGATTGGTTGAATATTTCTCCATGTTCCATTGGTTTTGTGGATGTGCGCTAGGCACCAAATCCAAATATGAAAACTATAGATCAATGATTCTATTTCACTATGACGCACTGAAAACTAGCATTTGTGATGTTTAACTGTGTCATAGTGTGTGTACTGTAAAAATAATGAATTTGTCAGTGACTAAATGATGGTAATGAAAACTTATGTTACGATATATGATAATGATTTTATTCATTTTTGACAGATCATGTCTGATATTGGCGGTAAGAGTCGTGGAATTGGATTCGTAAGTTATGAAGAACCAGAGGCAGCAGAAAAGGTGTGTTACTTTATATTTAAGAGTAAAAATCACAAAAATACCCAGCTGAGGTAGACATTTCATCTATTTACACAAAAGAAAATAAAGAAATAAAAAAAATAAAGTTCTGCCAATTAAATCTGTTCATGGCAAATAGCAATTATTTTGTATATTTGTTAAAATCATTTCCGATCTATAACTTAAAAACCCATTTGTGCACATACAGATTTAGGAAATTTTGGGAAACACTTTAAAAAAAATAGTCAGTATGTACAAATTTTGAATCAAATATTTCCAGAGAACCATTTTGCTATGACTACTCTTCTAGAAGAGAATTTTTAAGCAGTGAATTATATAAGAACTGTTTTCTACGTTAAGAGGCTTTTTTAATTTTTTATTTACACTGACATACTAAAAAAAGTACATGTTTTATAGCCTTGTAAATATGGACAAATGATATGAATTTTGACAACATATCAAGAAAAATTAACAAGTCTAATTTTTAACAGGCTGTTGAAGATTTGAACGGTTTAACCATCCACGATAAGACTTTGTGTGCTGGCAGAGCCCAAAAAAGGGCTGAGAGACAAACTGAACTTAGGGCCAAATTTGAGAGAATCAGAATGGAGAGAGTTAATCGACACCAAGGAGTGAATCTGTATGTAAAAAACTTGGATGACAACATTGACGATGAACGACTAAGGAAGGAATTTTCTCAGTTTGGAACCATTACAAGTGCTAAGGTATGAAGGAAAAATATGCAAATGGTTTATGACAGAAAATAATAATCAAGCAATGAATTGGTAAACTATAAGGGTAAATTCAAGACTCACCAAAACCGATGAAGTGGGCATATCAGTCTTTTGATGTTCTTTCTCAACATCGAAAAAGCGACAACAAAAAAGTCAACCTTGCTGCCACTTTTCAATTTCTCCTAAGTTACTGATCCAAAACTCATCTATCCCAATAGCATTATGCATATTTTTTTTGAATTTTGATTAGAACTAGCATTGCAATGTATTCCTTCAGTGATGTTGTCTGAAATTATTTGGTTATTTTTAAGGAGGATTTCGACCACAATCATTCTATTTTGCAGTGGCTTACAATGTTGTCCTTACTTCGAAGAGTTATTATTCATTGAACAACCCTAGCTGTACTGAGTTTACTGAGGTACGACACAAATATTAAATAAACAGATCAAGGGCTGTTCCATTTTAATAAACATCAGACACAAAGAATGTCTTTATCTTAACTATGGATGGGTGTCAACTATTCATTTATATTGTAAACATGTAATGGACTCTATTGGATGTACTCTATCTTTAAAGTGCCTGTCGTGGGTACTATATTAGTTTTAAAAAGACAGCACTTACTCATTGGAATGTATTTGACCTTTTAATTACACTGTTACTTGTAGGTTGAAAGAACAGAAGGTGGAAGATCCAAAGGATTTGGTTTTGTGTGTTTTAGTTCTCCAGAGGAGGCATTTGAGGCTGTCAGAGAAATGCACGGAAGGATCGTTGGGGAACGATCAATTAACGTGACTCTTGAACAACAAAAAGAAGACAGGAAAGCTCATTTAGCATCAAAATATATGCAGCGTATTGCTAGGATAAGAATGCAGGTAAACCAACATTTTGTTTACGACAATTTAACCTATTTTCAAGAAATTAGTAATTCATATACAGTTGTTTAAAGAAGTTGATTTAGCGAACCAATTTAACTTTGAAGATACATTTATTCTATTCCGCTTACTAGAATTACAGTACAAGAAGCGTATTGCTAGTATGAATATGAAGATATAAACTAACTAACCATCCCCGTGATCAAACTAAGATTTTAATAATAGAGTGAAATTGATTTGTAACTAAGTGGAATTTACTCAAAATACTTAACGCATATTGTAAGTATTAAAATGCAGTAAGAGATTATACCAAAATAAAACTTATCCAACAAAGTTTGTCCACAAACATGTTTTAGAACATGTACCTGGTTTTGTACTTTAGGCAAATTTCCATGAGGTCAAGAGGATTTTTGTTTGCTTTGAATTGTTTACGTCATTTAAAGGGGATGTCACAAATTGTCGGGGATATCTTGTATTCATTTTATGTTTTAGTGCTTATTAGAACCATTACTATCTAAATGCATATCAAACAACTGATAATTGAAGGATCTTTATTTCAAAACCACGTATCTTTGATAGAATACATAATCTGTGAAGGTACATTTATTCATGAGGTTTAATTGACGAGTTAAGCTCTTAAGCTTCAAAACAGTTTTTTATAGTTTGTTCTAATTTTCTGTATTTGTCTGCCCGCAGTCAGGAGCCTGTAATTCAGTACTTGTCGTTTGTTGCTGGGTATCGCAATTTGGTTTTCAGTTATTGTTTTGTACATAAATCAGGCCGTTAGTTTTCTTGTTTAAATTGTTTTACGCTTGTTATTTCGGGGCTTGTGTAGCCTGCTTTGCCGTATGAGGTTTGTTCATTGTTGAAGGCCTACGATGACTTATAATTGCTACCTTTACGTCATTTGGTCTCTGGTGGAGAGTTGTCCCATAAACAGTCATACCACATCTTTTTATTTGTTTACATTCTCGCTCAATGGAAAAAAAAATGTTTTCTGTAAGGTACCAAACTTCACAGTTAATTGGAAACATGAAATGCCGAAAACATCAATATCAGTATGTTAAGGGGATGTTACCTATTATTAAAATATTCCCAATTATATTCAAAATATCTGATATGGTACATATTATGTAAAATAAATATCTTATAATGTTTATATAAAAGTAAGAAGTTGTGAAATGATTTCCAATAGGACAACTCTCCACTGGAGACCAAATGACGTAGAGGTTGGCAAATATAGGTCGCCCACTTCCTGCTCATTTTGCTTGCTGATATACTGTTTGACATTCAACAACAAATCAATCATCTGACTTTGCAAGTATTTATTTCCCTAAAATTCTAAATTTGTTGAACTATTCATTAAGTTACCCAAGTTACGAAGAATACCTAAATTTGACATATTTGTGTTCTTTGTCAAATTATGAAAGTCACATAAATGAATAGCTTCAAAATGACGGAACTGTGAACAATATCCGAACGACAGTTGACTTGTAAGATTTGTGACAGAGACAAAATGTCACATCTTATCAACAGAGCATACAAATCTGATGATACTGGTGGTTTATTAAAACATCTGTCGGACAATGTTTAGGTAAGCAGTATAACCTTACACAGTAAATGTAGGTTTGCCATTTGGTAAAGATCTATTGTCAGTTGTTCCACTTTGTGCTGACATGAACTATCATTGACATGATAATGTTCTAAAAATGTTCTGTCGTATTATTTGGAGCACGTAAATTTTTTTACCCTCAGTTATAGATGAAATGTTGTCTATTTGCTGAGTGTTTTTCTGGCTTTTTTATTATTATTAAAACATCACTTATGAGTCTTATGTAGATAACATCGTCTGGCTTAAAATATTATAAGCTTCATATCTTTGATGTGTTTTTACATGCTTGAATTGTGTATCATTTACGGGACAGCCTGCTGCCGGTATGATGAATCAGATGTTTCCATTAGCTGGACCTGGGTATATCCTTCCTACCATGACACAGGGACAGAGAAATTTCTATGCCCCAACACAGGTGCCACAGATGAGGGCAAGTCCAAGATGGCCAACACAGCTAAGACAGCCCACACCAGCTAGTGGTATGTATAAAAATAAAGATGTTGAGAAAGGTCAATGAAGATATCTTCCTCAGAAAGTGCAAAACAGAGCTTCTGAAATATGATAGCAAGCTTCTGTGAGCATGCTTTACAATATAATTCACTCATCACTTATCAGTTATCTGTTAACTGAGTACTTATCATGGCCCCAATGACTTTGTATGAAACAATAAAAAAATATGTCGATTTTTCTGGCAACTTCTGATAGGAGATTTCTTAAAATTTAGTATTGAGCTTCATTAGAGAATGCTATTCTGTGATGTGTTTTCAAATCCATTGCTCATCAACTTCCCACCTTTACTTATTAACAAAGTAATGATTCTCATAGTACAGCACGAAGTAAAATATTAGATATATATATATCACAGTTTCACTAAGTATTTTTGAAGGCAAGTGTAGAGACTCATCATTTTTGGACATGGCTAGTCCAGCAGTAAAAAAAAAACTATTTCATTTATTATTTCCTTCCCCATAACAAAATTAACATGGAAATGAAACATATTTAGATTACATTTTAATTTTTGCTATAAAATGATAAAATGTGTGTTAAGTGTTCCAATACTTTACAATCTAGATGCATCCTTGGACTCAAAAGTTTTGAAAATGATGAGTCCAGACAGATTTTCACGGACACATGAAATCGCCTTTAAAGAGAACCTCAATCCAGTAAATCAAAAAGTTCTGTAGATATTTATAGAAACAGCTAACAGTTCATCTTGTTTGGCCTATTTTAATTTAATGTGAAGGCAAACATGAGCCAATACATGACAACATTGTTCAGTAGTTTATTACCCTTGAGTCAGATAAGTCCATTCATTTTGTTAACATAGTCATTACGATCCAGCTTTGTACAACAGGTAATCTTCCAATTTCAGGATTCCAGAATCTGCCTGGACAACAGGTTAGACCTGGCAATCCTGCTGCCGCTGGAGCAAGACAACCTGGTCAAGTCAACATCCGTGGCGGAATGAATGCTCGTCCAATCACAGGACAGTCTGGCACAGGCCAACCACCTCGCATGCCACAGTCTATACCATGCAGAGGACAAGTGCCTCCCCCAGCCGGAGTACTCAACCCAGCCAACAGGTATTCAGCTACACTGATGAGAAACCCACCTCAAGCTGGAAGATACCAACACATGGTTATGCCACAGGTACAGTTTGTTATCTGGGGCCAACTAAAGGTCTATTTCTGAGTGAAAATTTGATTTCTTTTTAGTCCTGAACTCTGATGTATTACAATGCATGACTCACCAAAACATGGTTATGCCACAGATAGACCATTAAAGAATAAACACGTTTGTTTTCAATTAAAGGGTCTATTACACAAGTGAGAAGTTGTTTTGAAATTGATCCAAAATTCTGTATCTTTAGTGAAGGTAATGCAATGGCTTTTGAAAAAGGGGATTATATAATTGATTTCATTCATTTACCATGTTGACCAATTATTTTTCTTTTGTATAAAATTACATTGAAACTGAAAGAAAGTAAAGAATAAGATTGTTGAATTATTTCATTCTAAAGATGTTATGTTCCCTTCGATGTCTTTTGTATAAAGTTGAAATTGAATCATGTGAATTAAAAGTAAAGAATCATTTCATTGTATTACTGTAAATTCAGAAATTATTGCGAGGTTTTTATTAATGTAAATAATGCAACTTCTTGAGTATCTCAATAATATGAACTCGCAGCCTTATATCAAACACATATATGTATGTAGCTTTTACTAAAATCGCAATGATAAAACTAGCATTTTTGATAATTTTCAAATAATAAATGCACTCAATAATTTCTGAATTCATTGCAATATCTACGGAAGCCCTGGAGTACCATGTAAAAAAAATAATACTTGTGCGCATATCTTGTGCGCACAAGTTACTATCTTGTGCGCACAAGTTACTTGTTAATATAAAAAAGAAGATGTGGTATGGTTGCCAATGAGACAACTATCCACAAAAGACCAAATGACACAGAAATTAACAACTATAGGTCACCGTACGGCCTTCAACAATGAGCAAAGCACATACCGCATAGTCAGCTATAAAAGGCCCCGAAATGACAATGATAAAACAATTCAAACGAGAAAACCAACGGCCTGATTTATGTTAAAAAAATGAACGAAAAACAAACATGTAACACATCAACAAACGAAAACCACTGAATTAATGGCTCCTGACTTGGGACAGGCTCATACATACAGAATGTGGCGGGGTTAAACATGTTAGCGGGATCCCAACCCTTCCCCTATACTTAGACAGTGGTGTAACAGTACAACATAAGAACGAACTATACAAATCAGTTGAAAAAGGCTTAACTCATCAGATGGATACAAATAGAAATACATCTAACAAAAACACAGAGAGGACGTGGCCGGGTACTTGTATATCCGAACAAAAAAATACACTAAATACAGATAGTCTGTTTCTTAGATACAATAACCAACAGGTTAACTCTATTTTCCAAGGAAAACTTAACATTGACCAATGAACCATGGAAATGAGGTCAAGGTCAGATAAAACCTGCCAGACTGACATGTACCACATATAGTTGATCCATTGTCTTATAACTTCTGATAAATGAACTAATCACGTAATTTTAACCTTGATCACTTATCCATTAAATGAGGTCATGGTCAGGTGAACCATGTCTGACGAACATTGCAAAGTACCCATGAACAACATGTAGTTATGATCCCATTATTCATAATAAGTGAGAAATCCACATGTCAAAAAAACCTTTAAATTTGCTCCAGCTGTCGTTGTACCAATTAAATTAGGTCAAGGCCTATGGACATATGACAGACGAAAACTTTGAAACATAAGGTATCTACAAACAAAGTATGAAGCATCCAAGTCTTCTATCTTCGGAAACATAAAGCTTTATACAAATAGTTAAATAGTGAAAGCCGTCGCTGGATATTAGTACCTATGTCTTACTCTGCGATTTCGTCGCAGGCGAGAGATAAACGAAGTAAATCGTCTTCTATTCACTGGGAATAGATTTTTCCCACAGAGACAAATTGCATACTGCTGCTGTTGGTTTTTTAACAACAACAAAAACCATAATATTACAATAAAATAAGAATGTGTCTGACAACGCGAAATCCCCGCTCAAGCTTTTCAATTTTTCAAGTTATAAAGGGGCATAATTGTAGAAAATGAATTACTATCCAATTCGAAATCTGACTGTTGTTATTCTTAACATTGATTGTGAGTTTCATTACATTTGGATAAAGCAAACTAAAGACCAAGGGCGGAAACCAAAATAAAAGAGCATTTTTTCAAGTTGAAAAGGGGCATTACTCAAGGACGATAAGTGACCCACGGCCTACATTAGAACTCTGTCTGCGTGTTTTAGTTATTACTTTTGTGTGCATGGGCTTCGTCAAATTAAGAAAAGGAAAATTCAAGTTTGACCCTTTCTTACTAAACAGTTGGGACAACAACCACTAAAATCAGTTCCAACGTGCCATTAGTGGTAAGAATCCTTGTGTTAAAATTCATTACAAACAAATCGACTAGTACAAGGTTTTGGCTTGCAAAACAAGTGCATGACTACAGATGAAGGCACCAGACTACGGTCATATAAAGAATAAGTATGTGCATATAAAGTAAACTATGCGCATATATAGGAAAAGTATGTGCATATATAGAAACAGTATGTGCAGATATTGAAAAGAATGCGCATATATATACATATGTTTGCATTAGGTAGTTACGGCGTTCCATTAATAAGTCTTCAAAGCAAGATGAGGGCATATCAATTAGAACACTTGTAACTTGTGCGCACAAGTTGTACAACTCGTGCGCACAAGTTAGTAACTCGTGGGCACAAGATAGTAACTCGTGCGCACAAGTTGCGTAACTCGTGCACACAAGTTGTGTAACTTGTGCGCACAAGATAGTAACTGTTGCGCACAAGTTGTAATTTTTTTTTACAGGGCACTCCAGGGCTTCCGTAAATTTCAGCATAATTCCTCAGATTTTATAATTTTTTTTTCACAAGTTGGATGAAGCTGTGGCTATTTGGTTTTTTTATAAGGAAATTAACAGCATTAACACATATATAAATATAATTCTGTTTCAGCCTCCAGCCCAAGGAGGAGTGATTCATTTTCAAGGTCAGGAGCCTCTGACTGCTAGCATGTTGGCTGATGCCCCCCATCAGGAACAGAAGCAGATGTTAGGAGAACGTCTGTTCCCTCTGATCCAAAGTATGTACCCAGACCTGGCTGAAAAGATCACTGGAATGTTACTGGAAATAGACAACTCGGAATTGCTACACATGTTGAAATCCAAGGAGTCACTAGAGGCTAAGGTTTGTAGGACAAATGATTAAAAGGGAGATTGTGTAGGAAACCTTTTTTAACTGTATATTTAGTGTAATTCATCACATGGCACACTACCGTTCAGATTGATTTTCCTTTTTCTACCAGTCCACTCTGACAATCAACTCAAATTTAACATTTGTAAAAGCATTGAAAAACTATAAGCTTTTTTTCTCCTACAATTTGTATGAATTAGAAAATTAAAAAAATCCACATCTGAAGGTTTTCCAGCCAAGAAAAGGTGTTTCCAATTCCCTCTGGTAATTAATGGAAATTTCAAAATCCATGCGACTTGAATGTATGTTCAGAAACAGCCTAAAACCAAATTTTTTTTTAGAGAGGAATTATTTCATACGCAAAGATTTTCTTACTTAAATTCATACCATTGCAAATAATACATACGAAACTGTTTTGGAATTTGAATGATCCTTGAGTTCTGACTGGATTTACCTAAAATGAAATTCTGTATCAGAATATAAATGTTGATTTACGTTATCATTCCACATCTTGTTAATGGGATATAAAATGTGCTGTCAGATTAATATGTCTTACAATTTAATTTATTGTAGTTAAGGATCCAGATGACCTTTCTTAGAGTAGATTTGTTTTATCCAAATATTGTAAATAAATTAAGAAATTATTGCCATGATTATTTT